TAAATTTTGGAGAGTAGTCCTTTGTCTGTTATGCCATTGCCAAGCATTTTTTCCTTGTCTGTGAGTCCTCTTTTTACTCCTTTGGTGAAATCCTTTAATGCATAAGTGTCTAATTTTTAGGAGGTCCCAATCATCTGTTTAAAATTAGGAAAGGTGTGCGATAGGGTTGTACTCTTACCATAGTTATTTAACCTCTGTGCTGAGCAAATAATCCGAGAAGCTAGTTTATATGAAGAAAAATGTGGCATCAGGATTGGAGGAAGACTCATTAACAACTTGTGATATGCAGATGATATACAACCTTGCTTGCTGAAAATGAAGAGGACTTAAAACATTTACTGATGAAGATCAAAGAGCACAGCCTTCAATATGGATTACATCTCAATGTAAAGAAAACAAAAATCCTCACCACTGTACCAATAAACAACATTCTTAACAACAGAGAAAGGATTGATGTTGTCAAAGACTTCATTCTTCTTGGATCAACCATCAACACTCATGGAAGCAGCAGTCAAGAAATCAAATGACGTATTGCATTAGACAAATCTACTGCACAAGACCTTTTTAAAAGTGTTGAAGAGCAAAGATACCAGCTTGAAGACTAAAGTGCGCCTGACCCAAGCCATGGTATTTTCAGTATCCTCATATGCATGCGAAAGCTGGACAGTGAATAAGGAAGACCACAGAAGAATTGATGCTTTTGAGTTATGGTGCTGGAGGAGAATATTGAAAGTAACATGGGCTACCAAAAGAACGAACAGATCTGTGTTGGAAGAAGTGAAGCCAGAGTGCTCCTTGGAGGCCAAGATGGCCAAACTTTGCTTCTAACACTTGGGACATATTTTCAGGAGGGACCAGTCACTGGAGCAGGCTATCATGTTTGGTAAAGTGAAAGGTCAGAGAAAAAGAGGAAGACTTCCAGCGAGATGGATTGGCAAAGTGGCAGCATCAATGGGTGTGGCAACAATTGTGAGGTTGTCCCAGGACCGGGCAGTGTTTCATTCTGTTGTGCATAGGGTAGCCATGAGTCGGTACCAACTCGATGGCACCTAACAACAACAATCATCTGAATTATCTTCTGTTTGTATGTTTTCAGTTATGTTTGGTAGTGTATTTATGCCATATATCAGAGGCCCCTAAGTTTGTCTCTATTTTTTTCATTGATGATCTTTATAGTTCTAGGCTTTACATTTAAATCTATAATCCAGGTTGACTTAATTTTTGTATATGTAATGAGGTATGGAGTCCTGGTTTGGAGCTGTGGACTAATGCATCAGAATGCACAGTTATTTGAACTGCAAGTTTGGCAGTTCAAGCTCACCAACTGCTCCTTGGAAACCCTATACAGGGTCACTATGGGTCGGAATTGACTTGATGGCACTTAATAACAACAATGAGATACGAGTTTAATTTCATTTTTCTGCAGATGGATTTACAATTTTGCTATCATTGTTTGTTGAAGAGACTATCTCTTCTCTATTTAATGCATTTTTGCCCTTTGTCAAAGATCAATTTACTGCAAGTGGATGGATATACTTCTGGGTTCTCAATCCTATTTCATTGATCTATGTGGCTTTCATTGTATCAGTACCAGACTATTTTGATAGGCTATGAGATCAGAAAGAGAAAGACCTCCTGCTTTGATCTTCTTTTTTAATAATGCTTTGCTTATCCAGGGTCTCTTTCTTTTCCATATAAAGTCAGTGATAATTTTTCCATCACTTTAAGGAATGATGCTGGAATCTGGACTGGACTTGCATTATATCTATAGATTGATTTGGGTAGTGTTGACATTTTCACAATGTTAAGTCTTCTTCTCCATAAGTAGTATACATTCCTCTATATCTGCAGATCTTTTTTAATTACTTGTAGTAGTGTTTTGTAGTTTTCTTTCTATAAGTCTTACGTTTCTCTGGTTAGATTTTTTTTCTCAAGTATTTCATCTTTTGGGTGGTGCTGTAGGATCATTACTGAATTTCAGATGACAAGGGTAGACACATGTTAGCACGGGTGATGGGGCAGGCAATATACAACAAGAGGGAGGTTGGCAGAGGAAATGAAGGTAGCTGAAGACATAAGAAGAAGTTGAAAAGTTAAATGAAATAGACGCAAATACTTATGTGGCACCATAGGATAAGCACTCAATCTCAGTTTGAACCACAAGGTCGGTGGCTCAAACTCACCAGATGCTCCTCGAACACCCAATATGGGGTCACTATGAGTTGGAACTGACTGGACAGCACTTAACAACAACAACAACTTGTTAACTGACAGTACATAGAGGGAATTACAATCATTATAATCATTTAAAATTAAGTATATGATTTGCTTAATTTAAAACTGATGATCTGCTCTGTAAACTTTCACTCAATTTATATAAAAAAAGATGAAAACAAAAAAGAGTTCATTGTTGTTGTTGTTGTGACTCATGGCAACCCAGTATAGGATTTCCACGGAGTGGCTAGTGGGTTTGAACTGTTGATCTTTGGTTAGCAGTCCAATGCTTAACTTAGAGTACCACACCAGGTGCCATGAAAAACAAAACAAAACCAAAAAAATCTTCCTGCAAAAGACAATGCACAGTGAAATGTGAATGATAATGTGTTTTAGAAGAGTAATGTAGATACAGGAAGTTATGGCAAATTCAAAATAGTTAAGAAAATGAATGGCAATTATTAACTTCACATGTTGATTCTCTGAATTTTGTTATCAAATTATCAAATAATGATAAATACTTAAAAATCATTTATTGTTTTTTATGTACCAGATATTGTCGTAAATGCTTTGTATACATTGTTGTAGTTAAGTCCCATCAAGTCAGTGCTGACTCATAGCAACCCAGTAGAGGGTTTTGAAGGAGCAACCTTGTGGCTAGCAGTCCAGTGCTTATCCTACAGCATCACACTAGGCTCCAATCAGGACTGTTCAGATAAGGACTGAACTCACAACCTCAGCACTGCTCCATTTGCACAGTCATCTAACTGCATCACTGGAGTGCCTTGCATACATTAATTCATTCAAATTTCTCCACAGCACTTTTGCTATCACTGTTCTACTAATGAGGAAAGGGAGGCACTCAGTACTAAATGCCTTCCCCAGTGACCTCTGCAGTTTGTCAATGATGGGCAGCCCCAATGCAGAGCTCCATCTTAACCATTAATCTATATGATCCTCCTGTCTTTTGGTCGATTCTTTTTCTATGTAACAAGAGAATAGCCTCTAACTCTTACTTGGCAGCAAAAAATGATAAACATGAATGACTTAAAGTTATTTCAAATATAACAAATAGTCAAGGCAAGGCCATGTTAATTATCTATGGTGAAGAAGACATGGTCCACTCAAGCCCACAGCATTTGTCCTCCTGCACTGAAAAGTCCAATTTTGGATAAATACTTCAACCTCAAAGTTACTTTAAGCAAGTAACAAACTTTGACCTCACTTCTTTACCACATGGCATCTTACCAATTGCATAAAGAATTGGCATACCTAAAAGGAAGAAGCAAAAAGTAGGTACTGAACTCTTTAAAATTAAAGGGGTGTTAAATGCTGGGGAAACCAGTAGGAGAAGGGCAACACTTCATTCATTATTTGTTTGCAGAACATGAACTTTCCCTTTAAGTTGTTGTTGTTAAGTGTTTTCGAGTTGGTTCTGACTCATAGTGACCCTGTATAGGTTTCCAAGGAGCAGCTGCTGGGTTTGAACCACCAACCTCATGGCTAGCAGTCAAGTGCTTACCTTACAGCGCCGCACCACGACCCTCTTTATAGGCCAAGTTAAAAAGAATATAAAGTATCATTTGTTTGATGTTCTTTTACTATTTGCATTTCTTGAGACAGAAGGTCCATAACTTATACCATAGAAAAATTAAGTCATTAATCATGACATTATACACTTGAAGAACTACTGAAGGGGTCAACACCATATACCTGAATTTGAAGTAAACATTGCATCAATTCTATTAACATTGTCATATAACTTTACTCCAAATATCCCATGCTGTCATGAGTCTGAGCTAGGATTTGCAGCAGAGAAGTAGTGATTAGAGGCATTGCCCTGGAAGAATATTGTGCTATAAATGCAGTGGACAAAAGCAGCAAAGCACTAACTAGGTTTAGCAATGAAACTTTGTTGATGCTCCTGCTAAGAAGAGTTCAATTGAAAGCTGTAACTACTATTGATGTCATTTTACAATTGAGACCATGTCTGTCTTTTAATTTGGAAACAATATTGATCACTGTGTTCTATAAACAAGGCTTACCCAGTTATTACTCTGCAACTGCTTTGCAAATACATGTTTATTTAAGAGTAGCATAATTGATAATTTAGGGTAACAGACAAATTATTGCATGAACTTTGGTAAAAAGATTGTTTTATATTTTGAAATTTAATTCTTCAAGTTCTTTGGTAATACTACATTTTTCTGATCACATAAAAAAAAATCTTAAAGAAGATTTCTCTCTTCACTCCAATATATTTTCATCTTGACTAAAAGCTGCTTTAAACTTATTTACTTATTTACATTTCTCCTCTATCTTCAGAAATCATTATAGTGCTCACTTGTTTTTTAACAGTATTTAATATTATGGGATCTCAAGGTAAGAGGACAATGTTTGAAATTTATAGTTTATATAATATGCACATTTTATGCAAATTGGTTCTTCAATTATTATATAAAAAAGACAAAATTAAATCAAAACAATAATGTTAATCTATTTCTTTTAAATCCATTTCAGATTTTCTATGATGTTTCTTATAATTTTGATTTTCTCAATATCATTATTTAAAAGTTAAATCGAACATAAATGAATAACAAAAACATTTTCATGTAATTTGAAGGGAAAGACACATGCTATAAATATCTTATTTTGCTACTTCTAGATTTTATTCTACTTTCAAAAATAGGCTAATGATTATTAAACTTAATGTTTTTTTCCTTTACAAACTGTAATTGAATAAGGATAACTTTGCAACTTGAAATCTAGTCAGGAGTCCAAGGAAACTATTTTTGAAGCTTTAATTTAAGAATAGGCCTACCTTTCTCACCTTCTTTTTCTTCCTGGTCATCTGCTATTGGAATCACTTCTGGTTCTTCAACAATACTAGTATCCTCTTGGGTTGAGGAAAGCTCTAAGTAGAAGACAGAAGGATACTCAGGTATGTTTCAGGTGAAATCATTTAGAAAATATAGTGAGCACAGAATAGACAGTTAAAGTTCTCTTTCTTTAAGTATGAACAGTCACACAAAGCAGATAGTATTGCCATTATAATTATAGCCTAAGCCCCCCACCCCCACACACACCACTCTTAAACATGAATACATAGAGAAGTCATGTTTCACAGTTTCATCTCATTCTCTGATAAGTACATATTCTGGTTTCAGTACCTTCTGTTTCCATATATGAACTCTGGGACTCTGTCTCAATTTTTATTTCATTCTTCATTGAATCTTTCTCTTGTCCTGTTAAGAACAATGATTGGAAAATAAATTTGATATACATGACCATAGCTTTATCCTTGGTTTGAAACATCAGAGCCTTCAAGAATCATAGTTTAATCATGCATGGAGGGGCAGAGAGCAAATCTGAACCAAAGTGGAGGGAGGAGATATAATTTTTCAAATCATAAAACTAATATAAATTATTTTAAGAGAAATGTAGATAGTTTAGGCAAAAACCTCTTCTTCAAACTAATTGGTTGAATTAATACGTAACTTAGCCGTGTAGTGGATATGTATGGACACAGTCTGGAAATTTAAAAAATTTTAATAATTTATAGGCTGTAAGAATTAACCACATTTAAATTTTCTTTATGACAACAAACAGTTACGGTATTGAAGATTCCTAGGGAAAAAAAATAGTTTGTACAGCATAGAATTGCTGTTTCGAAAACACTTCTTGTACTTTCATTCCTCCATCAACAGTGGAAAAAAAACAAACAGGCAAACAACAACAAATAAGAGTAATGTGAACACATAAGAGTTGGCTGCATAACAGCTCAATCATTCTTTTTAAGGCAGCTGCTAAATATAGAAAAGGTCAGGAGAGAATTTAGCCGACTCTTGATTACTCTGAGGCTGATTATCTAGTAATGGTGTTTTTACCACAGTCTTTGGTTTCTTCCTTTCTCCTCCCCTGCAGAGTTGAGAACATTTAAGTGCTCATTAAGAGAGGAAATTGAAATCTGTCCACTTTGCCTCTTGCTAATGAATGATTTTGTGCTGAGGATATTCAACTATTGTATTAAAATAAATGAATAACTAACTACAGTTAGCAGTTCAGTGATTATCCTACAGACCCGGACCAGGATTCCTTTAGGTTAGTAGTCAAGCACAAACCATTTGAATATCTTGTGAAAGTATCATATTTTCCTGTCTGTGACCATTTGGCTTTCAGTACACCCTGTAGAATGAGTCCATATTCCCAGTCCATTGATGGTGATGCCAGGTTTGTCTATGTGACTTATATCATAAAATAGCACAGGGACAGGCATGATATATATGGCTTCTGGACAGATTCTTTAAGATTATTATGTATGGATTTTGTGATGTTCTTAAGTCACCTTTGCATAATTCACTCACTAGATGAGTTACTGCATTTGAGTTATGGTGTTTGCAAAGAATATTCAAATTACTATAAACTTCCAGAAGAACAAATAATCTGTCTTGGAAAAAGTACAGCCAGAATGCTCCTTAATGATTAAACTTCACCTCATGTAATTTGGACACACTATCAGCAGGCATCATGCTTTGTAGAATGTCAATGCAAAAGAGGAAAACCTTCAACAAGATGGATTGACACAGTGAATGTAAAAATGGGCTAAAAGGCAACAATTGTGAGGATGGCACACGATTGGACAATGTTTCGTTTGTACGTGGGGTCACTATGAGTGAAACTGACTTGTAGGCACTTAATATCATAATGCTTCAAACATTGTTACGATGATTTTTATAATGCTTTCAATCACCTATGTGTAAATATATGCATAAGACACTTATATGCCAAGTTAGAAATGGAGAATGTCAGAACTTAGAAATATATATATTTCTATGATGGATTTTCAGCACTAGGTGGTGCTGAAAGCTAAGCACTGGATCACAAGGTTGATTTGAACCATGAGGTGGTGGTTCAAACCCACCAGCCACTCTTTGGAAATCCTTTACAGGGTTGCTATGAGTTGGAACCGACTCGATAGCACTTAAAAACAATAACAAATGATGTTATCTCACCAGTAACTGTAAGTTATTAGAAGCATTAAGTCCATTGAAAGTTGTTCTAACCTTGAAATTTGGTAATATGAAGTAAACAAGGACACAAATACATCATAATATAGCCCCCTCAATTTATACAATTTATACAACTATTGCCTTAATTGACAATAAAACATACTAATTTTTTGGTTGTCACGTAACCTTTATCTTGTGAAGTCAAGATAAAGAGATTACATATGGACCCTCGATTTAAGCTGAGATCCTGGTAAAGATGACAGTGGCAAAGGTTTCTCTGACACTTGCTCTCTGAAGATTGAGAGCCTACTGAGATGTCATCCACCCCAACCAATCCAAACAGAGCCTGCTGAGATGTCATCCACCCCAACCAATCCAAATAGAGCCCGCTGAGATGTCATCCACCACAACCAACCCAAACAGAGCCTGCTGATATGTCATTCACCACAACCAACCCAAATAGAACCCGCTGAGATGTCATCCACCACAACCAACCCAAATAGAGCCCGCTGAGATGTCATCCACCACAACCAATCCAAACAGAGCCAGCTGAGATGTCATCCACCACAACCAATCCAAACAGAGCCAGCTGAGATGTCATCCACCACAACCAACCCAAACAGAGCCTGCTGAGATGTCATCCACCCCAACCAATCCAAATAGAGCCCGCTGAGATGTCATCCACCCCAACCAACCCTAATAGAGCCTGCTGAGATGTCATCCACCCCAGCCAACCCAAATAGAGCCTGCTGAGATGTCATCCACCCCAACCAGCCTACGATCCCAAACAGAAAGGCGTTTAAGGGCTGGCCAAGTCTTTCTTTCTGAGAATACTTATTAAAGGTAAAACCCTGAAGGCTAAATATTTGCACTCTAACCTTTAAACTAAGAATGCAACTGTTCATTGTAGTTCTCCATATACGTTGACTGTTTTGAGGTATTACTTGCATGTCTTGCCATGGCCACCTTACAATAAATTAAATAAGTTTATTTATGACAAACCTAAGCATGTCTTTATTTATTAGGATAAAATCTTCCAGGGCAAAGATGCATTGCATTCCATGTTCTCCAGCTCCCTTTCTTCTAATAGTTTGCTCCTTTAGCCTAGGAATGAGCCCAGGAGAGCCAAGGGAAGTCAAAACACACCTTTGTTGTCATAAATTAATAGAACTGTTAGGATTATTGGTTTTGACGGGAAGCTGATTTAAATAAACCCCTCATCTTCATAACAGTTCCCTCTTTCATATACCTATTTTTCAACTATACTAGTGGTATCACTAGAAGACTACAGGGAGGCATGCAGGTTGCACTTGGTGGCACTATCACAGGGGATGACATTTTCCCTAGATAGCTCTTTCTAGCTATCTAAAGAACAGGGGTTATTACAAATTGAAATGTAAGAGGAGAATCAATTACTATTAAGGAAAATATACACTTGCAAAATATTTACTAAGAAAAGCAAAAAGAGGAAGTGTCTTTTCGTGTGCAATTAAGCATAAGAAGTGAAAAGAGATGAGTAAAAAAATGAATGGATGCGCTTCTTGATTGTAATGTTTAGGGTCATGGCTTCATGGGACATCATAGTTATTTGACATATTAACATGTGTCTGTTTTACCTTCTAGTTGAATGCATAATGCCTGGGATCTTAAAATTGCCAAGCAGCTAACCAAAGCATAATGATTGGTCTTTATTTACTTGCAGTAACAAAGGAAGGAGAGTGAGGAATAGGAGGATGAAATGTAATGTGTGGCACATTGCCTCCTTGAACAGTTGCCTTCTTTGCTATGAGACCAGAAGAACTGGTTGGTGTCCAGCTACCATTGCTGAACATTTTGATAAAAAATTCCCTAAGAGAATACTGATTGAAAGGGAGGAAATACAGTACTGAATTTAATTAGAAAAGACTCCAGACTTTTGGAGTCATGAAGATTGGATGAAATCTTGAGACTGTTGTTCTGAGATAACCTTTGAACTCCATGCCAAAAATGTCCTCTAAAATCTTCTTCAAACTAAGCAATGGTCTAGCTTAACTAATCAAGAAGGTCTGCCTTCAGCATTAAGTTCTTTTAAGATCTATCTGGAAGGGATCAAATTGACCACAAAAACTCAAAAGATGAATAGAAGTCTTGGGAGGGGGGTGGTCAGTGAATTTATGTTAATGTTGAGGAACAACTCAGAAAAGGAGGATGGCTATATAACTTAAAGTATGTGATCAATATCACCAAATCGTACATGTAGAAATTGTTCAGTGTATCATTTAATTTGTATTGTTTCAACATCATAAAAATAAATAAGTAAATAAAATTATAGGAAAAAAAGAAAAGGACAATGAACAGAGGAATAGAAAAAAATGGATGGAAGGTGACTGAGACGATAAGAAAAATCTGTAAGCCTAAAACTACAATGGCATTAGTGACATCTGCAGCATATCTCATAAAAAGAGAATAAACACTTCAGTTAAACAAATGCACATTGTAGATATAAAACTCAAGTTCACTAAAAAACAAAAATTTAGCGAGAAAAATGTAATGTGCAGAGGAATGATGCAGAGGACAGAAAGTACCAATAGAAGTTCTAATCTAGGATTATAAAAAGATTCACTAGAAGCATATGTGATGGCAACCCATGAATAACATATGTGATGTCTAAAAAGGTTGTATAGAACAGAATATGATTTCGTTTCTTGTAACTAAATGCACATATACTTGCAAGGGCAAAAAAGATTGAAAGCCATATTTCAAGTAGTTGTTTGAAACATGACTATCTAAATAATAGCTGAATTTTTCATTGATAGGATTTTTGTTTTGCTAATATCAAATTTATATTTATAACATTTCCATATTCTGTACTTTAACAGGAGTCCTGGTATAGCATTGTGGGTTAATGCGCTGGACTGCAAAATTGGCTTGAACCAACTTGGTTCAAGCTCAGTAGCCACTCTTTGGAAATACTATACAAGGTTGCTATGGGTCGGAACCTACTCAACAGCACTTGACAACATAATATAACCATGATAATGAAACAATTAAACACTAGAAAAATTGTTATTAGAAATATCATAGAGGTTCTGGCTAAATCATGTGTGGATGTGGTGCATGTGTACACACTCGTGTAGCCAACTTCTATCATTTTTTCTTACACTATTCTTCTTGGAAAAGGAGCCCAAGGGGTGTAGTGGTTTAATTGTTCAGCTGCTAACTGAAAGGTCAGCAGTTGAAACCCACCAGCCACTTCA